TTAATTTAGAAATATTTTTTTGAAGGTTGGTAAAATTATAAAATTCTATCGATTTCGGGTATTATTGGTAACCAACTGATAGGAACATGTCGCAAAAACTCCCATTCTAAGTCAGACCTATTCACCAACTCTTTTAATTTATTAACTTTTTTAGTTGATTAACTAAATTCGTTAAAACATTTTATTACAATTATTTCGACATACACAGACAGTGGCGTTGCTAGGAGGAGGCGTGAAGGGGCTCGAACCCCCTAAAAAATTTGAATATCCCCCTGAAGCAAATTTTTTTTTTAATGACTCCTTAATATCCCCTTGAACTAAAAATAAATTTTTTTAATTGCCCCCTGAACGATTTCTTTTATAATTCTATTGAGTAATATATAGATTTAATTTTATTATTTAAAAATTAATAAAACTATCTAAATTTTTATTAAATGAATACTATTTTAATTATTAGATTAGATTATACATATAAATTATATGTTCAGTCTGTCAGCTTGAAATCCAATTCTGTGTTAAAAATATATCAATATCAATAAATAAATATTAATTTAGCCTTAACAGTTGAAGCTTAATTGATTTTTATTATTTAAATTATTATATAACCTTAATTAAATAAATATAATCATTTATTAATTGAAAATTAACAAATTTAATATTGTAATTAGCCGAGTTCAAAATCACTAATCAACTACATTTTGATCTTTCATGTCTCTTTCTAAAATTATTTTCAAGGTCCAAATCCAAATAGGTATAATATATTTATTTATAAAAAGTAAGTGGATAAATAGTTTATAATCCTTTATAATATATAATTATTTATAAAATATTAGGTAAAATGCCACTTTTACAGACATATTTGACAGATATATAATATATTACAGTTAATAATTTTAAAATTTTAATAATAATGCTTTTGATTTGAAAAACAGTTTTGAGTTAAATTTTTAATACGAATATATTCTTGATATTATTACAATCTATTATTATTTTAAGATATAATAAACCAACTAGAGATGGTGCAACAATAATATATAAAATCTTAATTACTTTCATCATATCACTCTGGTTCTTATTTTATAGTTAAAAAATGTTTCATTTCTAATATGGCATCCTTGCCGTGTAAATAACTCAAAACTTCAATATATTTGCATAATTTCTTCTAAAGATTTTTACTGTTTTTTTATCAATTTATTTAACATAATAAATTTTGATATGGGTTACCATCGTGAGTGTCATGGCCTTTTGTCAATGTAACTTGCTAGAATTATTTAGCCTTATCTGGTTTTTAAAAAATATTATCAATTTAGGCATATGTATGAAATAATTAACCTTTTTTATCACTTGTAATTATTTACGCAAAATTTTTTTATATCAGCAATCGAAAATATTTTATACTCTAATAAATAGATTTTGTATTAAAAAATATTATTTTTAGAAATTTATTGTATTGTTTTAATTATTTATATGCTAGTTTATTTTGTATGCAAAATATTATAAATGACAAAATAATTCAGAATAATTGTCTAGAGTTAGCATATTTTAAAAATGTATAATATATTAATATAAAACCCGGCCGAAGGCCGTGTAAATGCGGGCCAAAGGCCCGCAAAGGGGGGATATGGGGACGAAGCCCCCATAAATTTTTTTTTGCTGAGCCCACTGAAATTGAAAAGGCTAGCGACGCCCCTTTATACAGATGATACATTAATATTAATTGCCTTTTTGCAAGAATTATGTAGTATATGGCATATACAGGCAATTAGTGTTAAGTCAACATTGTGCTGCCTCAATAAAATTTACTGCTGCATTATCAACGCATAATGCTGACATACAACTCATTTATAATTCCTAATCTGTTATATTGACCATATATGGTTAGTTATGTCTTTGGATTTTTCACTATCCGATTAACAGTTTTGTTGAAACGCCCTTATTTTTATTGAAATAGCAAAGAAACAAGGGAAATGTTTTAATATTTCCTTTATTAGATATATCTGTTAGAATTGCATATGGATGTCCCTCTTTCAAATCATCAAGAATTGGTCCTAAAACATTGGTGATAGCCTTGCATATTTTTTTTTCTATCACAAGTTTTCTCTTAGCTTGGAGTCGTTAAATATTATTGAGGAAAGATTCGATCTACATTGTGATGATAAGTAGCTCTTTGAATGTTATACTCAGAGTTGTTAAAAGATCGAATCAAAAGATCGACGATCCTGGATTCGATAGCAAATTTGTCAATTTTACGAGATTTATGATTCTGACTTAAATAGAGGATCGAGATCGAGATCATTTTGTTTAAAATTCGATCCCGATCTTTTTAAAAATTAATTTTTTACTTAAAAAGCAATAAATAAAATAAAAATTTTGAAAATTAAATTAAAATATTATTTTTAAAAAATATATCTATCTTTATATTTTATCAACTTCCATTCCACCATTTTATTTATAGATATATTTATTCATTTCCTAAATTCTACGAGATTTAGAGCTCTTACAAGTTATTTAATATAAATTTATAATAATATATTAATATTATTTTAATAGGTAAATGTAAATGTCCATTATAGATTTAGAAGATTCTATTGCTTATACTATTGATGTAAAAGCAGATATAAGTGAGAATGAGAATCTTTTACCATTTTTGAAATTACGTAAGTATTTACTTTATGTGAAATGGATGAAAGCAACTCTTATAATATGATCAGCACCAAATGCCGTCTCTGTAAGAAGATAATATCATCTTCCAAAATATCATCCTCGAACTTAAAGAGACATTTACAAGTAATTCTTTTAAATTTTTTTTATATGATAATCTTAATGTCAACATGTTTAAATTTAATTTATTACATTCCTGAGTTGAGCAGGTCCTACAGAAATAGAATCTAGATACAGATTCTTTATAAAAAAATATTTTTTTATGCAATTATTTTATATTATCAGATATCTGCTAAATATATTAAAAAATTGCAAAGATCTGGCAAATTTAGTAAAATATTTTTAACAGGCCAGTTCTACTAAACCTCTGATATCTAGTAAAATATTAATGGGCCTTTAAAGACATTAAAAATTTATTAGATTATTTGAATTTTAAGCTAATATTTTGATTAATATTTTTTGTAAATAAATTACAATGTCAATTTCTTTGTATATTAAGTATTAAGTTTACATTTAATCAATATTTATGATATGACCCAAATATAAATAAATACCATACAGATGCTGTGCCAGACTCGACTGTAAAATTTATAAGGGTTAAGTTTTGCAGATACTTGATTTGATTTATATGAATAAAATGAACACTTATTTAATAATAAATTAATTATCATTTCATAATATAGATTTCCTTCACTGTATGAAGACAGTAACATTTTGGCAGCCATGATTAACCCTAAATTTAAACTTAACTGGCCGTATATTAATCTGCCACAAAATATGATGGTAAAAGAAAGTTTAGTTGCCCATTTGGAAAATATGCAGGAACAACCATATGCGGATACCTCAAATGAATGTATGGATGACATTGATGATTTTTTTGGGGAAAAATACTGTACAAAATGCTTGTTCCGTTAAAAATTTTTTTTATTCAAATGATGATTCCATGACTATTTTTAATACTTATATTAATTTTAAAAAAATATTTATTGAATATAATACACCTTTGCCATCAAGCGCTCCTGTGGAGGGCTTGTTTAGTAAAGCTAAACATGTTCTAAATGAAAGACGCGGATGTTTAAATGATTATAATTTATAAAAAAATTTATTATTAAAAGCTAATTTTAATTATAAATAAATATATTATAATTGTTATATTTATTATTCAATTACAATAAATTTCTACCATATTTAATTTATTTTTATATTAGTTAATTTTGCATCGGTTATATTATATTATTATTCAATTACAATAAATTTATAACATATATTAGTTAATTTTACATCGGTCAGAAATTTCCTTCAGAAATTTAAATAGAAAAAAAGGTCGATCCTGGATTTCGATCCTCTTTTTTTGAATAGATCGTGATCGGGATTCGATCGTTTTAAAAAGATCGGTTAACAAGCCTGGTTATACTACATGATTAACGTATACCATGTAACCAATTGTAGTTTCATTTGTATTATTTCTTATTTTTGGAGCATTTTTTTGTATTGCAATAGATGTAGATACACTCCCTTTCACTGATTATAATAATAATGTGATTGAACTATAATAAATAATATAATTATCATTGAAATAAGTACAATATTACCTTATTTAAGCGTCTAGCCCTATAATTTTATACACAAACACACATGTAAATGATAAAATATGAATGAATGGTGTCGATTTATTATTGGATAAAAATAAAAAATATGATAGGTAATGATGTAAAGATATTTATAAACTAGACATGTTTTTTAAATAAATAATTATAGTTTATTTTAGAAATATAAATAAATCAATTAATTTTTCTCAAAATTATCATTTATATATTATAAAGTTTAAAATGTTAAAAAAAAAAAATTATGCGGGAGAAATTTAAAAATTGCGGTAGATTATCGCGGTAGATTTCCTATTGCGGTAGTAAGACGTCTAAAAATATGTATGGTATCCAATGATATAATCCTTTATGGTATCACTTTTTTAAATTTAAATTTGTTCTCTTTTTAAAAAAGAATGTTACTATTACATATTAAATAATACCTAATTTATTGCAATGTTAAGCTGGTAAAAGGGATAAGATATGTTCCATTTATTATAAATCCGCTATTTGTCTATAAAAAATATATTAAAAATAATTTATGCTTTTTTACGTGAACAATATATTTTTTAAGATTTAATTGATTTATTTTTTACTATTAATTTACAATTTTCCTTTATATTGATACCCCATCCCCCCCATCCCCATCCTTTAAATAAGCTGTAAAACAAATTCTACCGGCGCCGGTGGCGGAGAATGTCGAATATCAATTATATTTCGAATCCCAATTATGATTTGAAACATATGATATGATAAAACTATATTACTATTTCACACGTTTTTGTTTTCCTAAAGAATTTGTAAATTGTGACATTCATAAAACCTTGATTTGAGTTTATATAAATAATGGCAAATGTTTGCTTAATTGTAATAGATGGTTGGGGTTTAAGAAATGATACTAAGGGTAATTTATTATATAAATTCTTTATTTTACACTATACCAGGAAATGCTATATCAAAAGCCAGTACCTCTAATATGGACTCTTTAAGTAAAAGAGAAGGGCAGAGTATCAAATTATGTGCACATGGATTAGGTGTTGGTTTGCCTAAAGATCTGATGGGAAATAGTGAAGTTGGTCATTTGAATATAGGAGCCGGCAGAGTGATATATCAAGTAAGATAATGATTTTAATTTTTGCTTATAATAATGAATAGGATATAGTCAGAATCAATATGTCTATAGAAGATAAAAGTCTATTTAGCAATAAAAAATTTGTTGAAATGTGCAACCAATCCAAAAATGGCACTAATAGATTACATTTTATAGGACTGGTATGACTTATTATTATTAAATATTAATTCCCTCTATTGAAATATTATAATAGAATTTAAAATTTCAATTTAAGTTATCAAATATTTGAATTATAATCTAAAATTAACAATTGTTTATTAGGTGAGTGATGGTGGTGTGCATTCTCACATTGATCATTTATTTGCATTACTTGAAGGAGCTAAAACTCAAGGGATTAAAAATACTTTTGTTCATGCTATTACAGATGGCAGAGATACTCTACCTTGTAGTGGAAGTATTTTTAATTAAATTTATTTCATACATATTTAATGATCAAGTCTACATACATATAAAATTCTAATTAATAAGTTTAAAAAAATTATTCTAACTTTCATTATATCATGAATTTCTATACAATATAAATTTTATAATTATCTAAAAACAATTAAAATTATAGGTAGTTACCTTAAACAACTTGAAGATTACTTGTCGAAAAAATTAAAACATGGCAAGTTGGCCACAGTTGTTGGAAGATTTTATGCAATGGATAGGGATAAAAGATGGGAGCGCATAAAAGTTGCATATGAAGCACTCATACAGGGGATTGGTGTCAAAATTCAACTTACAGACTTGTTCAATGTTTTATATATTATATTAATTTTGATGGAAAAATTCTAGAATTATTTATAACTTATAAGAGGTGCTAAGGCATTGTAGGTAATATATTTTATTATAAATGAGAAATATATAACAGTATATATATTGCTAATCTTGTTTTACATATCCCCCTATTGCAAATTTGTCTGTACTTGTATATAACTAAGCTAATCAAAAATTCTCCCCTATACATCCCTTATCCCCCCTCAAAATGTTTTCAATATATCTAAAGAAGAATTTGAGGGAAAAATTAGGGAAATTAATAACTACTTAAAATAGCGACTAAAATTCAAAATTTTTAGAAGAAAAGCTCTATATAAAACCCAAAATTATTTTTATAAAAATCAAATATAGCCAAAAAACTTACTATAAGTGGATCTAAAGATCTCCAATGAAATTTATCAACAAAAAACCAACATAATAGTGACCCCCCCCCTTAACAAACAGACTTATATGTTTATGTTTTGTAGGTAATGATATTTTATTATAAATGACATGAAGGGCTATGCAATTAATTACAACAAATAAATTATAAATTAATTTTAAATTTTTTTAGTGGTAAATTATGCATGCGTATTAATCAGAGACCTTCATGGGCCTGTGGGTCTAATCATATATTTACCAGTGGGTCTGGGTTAGGCTTAGGTTTTTAAATTTTTTTAATGGAGTGGACTTGCGCCTAAAATTTTTCATTTAAATTTAGAATATTTAATAGGAGAAATATAACAAATCATAATTTTATTATATCATATTACCTTACCTCTAGACACCTTGCGAAAATGTTAATTTTGTTTTTATTTTTAGTTTAAGAATAAATTTGCCTGAAGTGGCATGTCTAAAAATAATTTGATTATTAGTCAAAACTGATTATTGATCATCTTAATGAAAGTGATATAATTGATGGATAATTATCATTAACTTAAATATGGAATCTAATTAACAAAATTTTGAAATTTATAAAATATTAAACTTTTAATCAAATTAAGCATCTCACTCTATGTAGAATTATTTCTCCCATTTCATATTATTTTGGCAACATGTATGATCAATAAGATAACCACCATCTTTCAAAAATGTCATGGTTCTTGTATAAGATATTATAATTTCTTTAAAATTGAATCCATAAAAAAGCTCCATGAGCTTTAGGAATGTAAAGGAATCTGCCATCTTAAAATATATTACATTGCTTAAAATTTAGTTCTTAAATTTTTTTGAAATTTAAAGAAATATTTTCAAAAGATATCACTTATTTTTTTTATCATATAAAATTATAAAAACATCAGAGACCAGCAGAGGTACCATTTGCACAATCAGGCCCGAATTTGTAGAAAAAAAATTTTCGATTTTGCCTAGACACTGTTTTCTATTTCCAAGTCCGTTCTAGGGTTTTAAAAAAAAATTTCCAGGGTGTATTAATTTTTCTACCAGTTTCATTTTATTTAAAAAAATATATTTTACCCATTCGGCATTTTACAGATCGTTTTTCAGCAAATATAAAATCAATATATAATAACTACAAATCATCTTATCTCCTCATATGTTGTAAAAGGAGTGAGTTTGAATCACCACACTTTCGTTTCGACTGGTCAATAGTAATTTCCTGTTTATCTTTTTTAATTTAAAATAGTCATTTATATAGGTATCAATCATTTTGCGTTCTCTCCCTAGCAACATATAATTTCCTTAAGATCGGACAGAGAAAAGGAGAAATAAAATGATACATATCTAAAATAAATTTTCCCCTTAAGTGTATTATATTTTGAATATTGAGTGTATCTTTGCTTTTAATATGATTGAATATTACCTAAAATAATAATTAGTTGAATAATATTTTACTAGCAATATTTTCTAAGGACCAAAAAAATGGAAATAGGAAATATGATAAGTGAATAAATGTGATATATTGTTCTATAATACACGATTTTTAAATATTTTTAATGTTTATAGAGAATAACTGCGATTTAAAATATTCGACCCGGTCTGGATATTTAAAATAAATTTTGTTAAGGCTGGCCCTAGTATATTTAAAAAAAATACGGCCCGGCCCTTGTATCTGGATTGGGCCTGCTGGTCTGTTATTTCCAACCAAACTATGAAAATGGAAGAAAATATATATAATTAATATTACTTGAAGATAAATCAAATTCTTATGTAATAAACCATTATATATGCTACAGTGCTTACAAATTGAACAAAAACTTTTAGCGTTGAACTTTTCTAAGAAACCATTTATTATTTAATTTAAAGTTGTATTTTTTTGAAAAAAATCTAAAATTCAGTCTTTTTTAACGCAAAAAACATTGCTGAATTGCGCGTTGTCATTATTGAAAAGAAAATATATAAGGTTAAATTCAACTGATCTATTATTGCAATTTTAATATTTTTTATTTAGATTATGGAAGCAAAATACAACGGTCAGGGTGAAGAAAAACAAACCGATGAATTTTTAAAGCCAATCATAATTGAAGATGGTATCGATAATAGAATCAAAGGTTTTGTATTACCCCATATAAAACATGCATTCATAATTATTATTAATACACATTTGATTTCGTTTTGCCAATTTTTAGATGATATATAAACTCATCATAGCAGTTAATTTATTAAGTTTATTCCAGAGTTGTACCAATATCTAGTATAGTAATGTACCGATATCTATGATATCGGTCAATATCTTTTATTGTACCTATATCACTAAATTATTCAATGCTCTAAAGGTTAGGTTAATGTTCCGATGAATTTCGTCCTAAAAATTTTTTCTTGTGAAATATAAAATATTTTTATAATTTATCGTAAAAGTGTTATTTTTTTGGATCATTTTTATTTAATAAAATAATTAGTAGTTGACTGCACTCCTTGTTTTTGACTAGTATTTAAATTTAAAAATTTAGCTTTTATTATTCTTCATTATTTTCTAAGAAAATATTTATTATATTCTATATGCCTGGCTAGCGGCTTTTAAAAAAAGAATTTCTCCATCCAAAAACAAATAAGAGAAAAAAATTTAAGATTCAAATTTTTTATTTAATTTTTTCACAATTTTGTCATAACAAGGTTCTAAATAACTCCACTTATTTTCAAAACTGAACTAGAGCCGAAATATTATAATAATCTTCCTTCCTTCCATCCTTTTACTTTGAAAAACCCCTAAATTATCTTTATATATTTTTTTCACCTAATAAAATATAGTTCTATCTTTTAAATCAGCTTACTAGAATCGGAAACCCTTTTTTTTAAATTTATAATAACCAAACCGGTACCTGACCACATTTTGAAGTTTCTATAAACGGTTCCAGAACTTGTTCTAATTAAAGTGCAAGTAATTTTTATGGCTAGTGACTGGTTTATTTTTATGTGTTTTTCATGAAATATTTAAACACGATTGTAAATATTAGAATTATTCCACATACCTCTGCTATAGGTGCCCCAGTAGTTTGAATAAGAAACGTATGGAAAGAAAAACAATTCTTTGCCTGAATGCGAACTTGTGAACTTCAGATTCACAAGCAAAGTAGCACATGAGCCACACACGCCACTTTAAAACAATGATTTTTTGTATATAATGATCGATGTGCTTTTATTTTATGATAAACATAATTATGTTGATCATTTTATGTTACGATCAAAACATGATTTTCGCAAGAATCCTCGGATGAATGAAATTTTAATTATTCAAATTTTAGCATCCTAGTCAGTGGCGTAGCTACGGGGGTGGTTTTCGGGTTTGGACCCCTCCCAGAGCAAAAATTTTTTTAAGATTATACGTTCAAATGACATAAAAGTGATTTTATATGAATTTTATTTTTCTGGTTTTGATGTTTGTGGAAGGATATTATATTACTATTGAAATTATTCTGGATAGTATTATTATAAAGTCATTGAGAATAATCTAATAAATTATAATAACATATTATTGATGCATTTAAAAAATATATTTATTATATATTATCGAAGATATGGTTATGATTTATAAGATAAACCCGGTCGAAGGCCGGGCAAAAGGGCCGAAGGCGCCCCCCAGATTTTATATGTATGGACCCTCTCTAAGGAAAATTCCTAGCTACGTCACTGATCCTAGTTATTTAATTTTGAAAATATCAAAAGTGTGAGTATGAAAAGTAACCTATTTTTACTTTTATCAATTGTTACTAAATTAAAGATTTACTCAAAATCGCAGAATTATAAATAATAATAAATCTATTTTTTAAAATAATTTATTTTTTTTAATATTACGGTCAATTTAATCCCATTTCTAAAGTTTACAATTTTTATAAAAAATAATGAGTCTTATTTTTATAAAATTTATGCAAGTGTCACTAAGGTCAATCTATATTTGTATATATAAATTAGAAAGCTAAGTTTTCACTTTCATGGTAAAAATCGATAATAAAAACACCAAAAACAGAATATATTTTAGAATAATATTTAATTAGTTGTTCTGTCATTTAAATTTTTAAAAATGATATTCTTATTATAGTCAAGAGTCTACAATACATATTTATGCAATATTTTAATCTATATCGGTAAAAAAATATTTACAAACAGTAAATTACATACATATACCATATTTCTCAAAAATATTTTTTAAACCATCCAAACCTCAAAATTATTTAAAATTTTGTATTTATATAAAAATGTGTTGTGTACTATTATAAAAATATCATATTTTAAATAATACGAACAATTAATTACATAATGCTATCATCTATTGAACATTCTTCAATAAAATTGAAGCTTGGCATTATAATTTTTTTATACAGATATCTATTGATTTAAGTGACATATAAAAATAAATCATTCTTTATACTTTGACCAAAAAATATATTAACTAGAATTCTAAAATTTGAACACTACCTTAGTTACTTGTGCTTAAGTTTGCACATAAAATTTCATTCACATTCCAAGGGGCCCAGATAATCATGATCGATTGTACATTCTTGAAAATGTTGTGCAATTAATTTTAAGGGGTTTATTTATTATTTAAATTATCTTAACTTTTTTTGGTTAAAACAAAATTTGGAACCGGAACCTTTGGAACGGCACTAAATTTGTGAATCAGAACCTCTAGATCCTAGTAATCAGAACCACTTTTTTTTAAATATTAAAAATCGGAACTATTTTTTAGTCCAGTTTATCATTCTCTTGTTTAACCAATCATAAACCATATTTTTATCTTGCGATGTTAAAAATTCTAATATTTAAAAAAAAATAAAATATGTTATAGTGTTGTTAAACAGCTTGTTTTGAGCCGATTTTTAAAAACGGCTAACTCAGTTTTTTATCCAGAAAAATATTATGCAAGCCTGAAAATTTTGCTCATAGAAGGAGCAAAGGTCTAGACATATAGTATCGAAATTTCGAGGCTAACTCAATATTCTAGAAAATTTAATCTGTATAATATTTTGGTTTAAGAAAAATGTTTTTAATGTTAGCTTCTACACACACCCTCCCTAAGCCACTAATAATTTTATCCCCCCCCCCTCCAAATATCTTGTCCCTTACTCTCTGAAATTTTCCCCCTTCTCTATAAAATTAATATTCCCTTAATGAAATACACACCACTGAAACCCCAACAATTGTTTTGAAATTTTTTAACCCGCACACTTATAATTTTCTCAAAAAATTTACCTGCCCGCCCTCCCATTTATCTAAAAATTGTTTAACCCGCTTGCCCGTCTTATGTTTACAAATTATTTTAATGGCTGGTTTAGTTCTTTATTTATTTTAATGTCTTTTTAATTAAACACATAATATGTAGTATTATAAAATAAAACTATTATTTTTGATTAATTGAAATCTGTTCTGCTCAGTTTAAAAATTCACCCGCCCATTATTTAAAATTTTTTTTTAAACTCGCTTGCCACTCGCTCATGTTAAAAATATTTTTAAAAAACTCGACCACCCCCGCCCCTCAAATTATATTGAAAACATGTTTAATTTACTTTTAATATAAAAAATTTTTGTATCATAAGTTTTTTAAATAGAGATCAAACCATTAAAAAAATTATTCAAAAAGATTTTTTTATAAAATTAATTAAAACTTTTTTGAGAATGTTCAATTTTTTTTGAATTCTACAATTTTAAAAACCTTAACACTATAGAGTAATGAAATTGGTATCGGTACATCTCTCATTTATTTGGTTTTTGGTTAGATTAATATTTCTATGCTTATTAGTTACTAGTAAATTTATAGAATATATATGCATTCTTCTTATTTCTAAGCATGGATATTTAAAATAAATTTACCATAAACCGAGCACACATTTCTAGATCCAACCTGACCCATCTAAATTTTTTTTAGATTTGAGTTTAAATATTATAATATCTAAGAAACCATTAAAAATCATGTATATTTATTCACATATTGTCATCTTAAATTAACCCCCATAATCAAAGCAATATTCATATAAAGTTGCATTTATTTAATTTGCATACATACAAATTTTATTCAGTTTCTATATAAAAAGTAAAGTTTCAATCTATTTTAAAAATTATTTAGATTATAGAAAATAATTTTCTTATAAAATGTAATAATGAACCTATTAAAAAGAAAAGACATCAATAATATCATTGTCAAGAATCACATAGTGAATAATTATCATATATAAATAATGATGAGTCAAGCTTGTCAGACTTCAAGCAACTCTTCTCTTTTTTTTAATATTCGAGGCTTGGACCAGGTCAGGCTTCGGATAGCCCGTGCTGGCCTCTAGGACATAATTTAATATTACAAATAATTTAGATGGTGATACAGTTTTCTTCTTTAACTACAGAGCCGACAGGATGAGAGAAATTGTTGAATGTATTGGGCTTAAACCTCAATTCGATACCAACGTCATACCAAAGAACCTAGTAATCATTTTTAAATTTTTTTTAACATTTATAAAATGGTCTAAGTATCATAAGCCATATATTCTTGAACTATTTGAAAAGATAATTTATTATTTTTATATAATAATCAGATATGCATTTATACCATTTTTTTCTGATAGCCTTTTTTTCGAGAAAATATAAACCAATGTTAATAACGAGGAAAAAATGATTCGATATTTCATTATAAAATATTTAATCTAATAATAAATGGCTTAAATCTTTAATAAAATTGCATTAAATAGATAATGTATTTATATAATATATCCGCAAGGTGGCGTTTATTGTTATTTAATATAATATAAAACAATATCACTAGCTAATAGAACCAGAAAAATTATAAATTTTATAGTAATTATAATTTCTATTTTCATATCTAAAATTTTAAAATAACAGAGTTTGGAAAAATTTAAGCTGTTTAGACCAAAAACGTGGTATCTGTGCTATAATAGTTTTAATTATAAATTATTTATAAATTAAAAGGTTTCAATTTTTAATGGAGCATATATGGTCAATCATTTAATATAAATATGAATGGGTATTAATGTTTAATTTGAATTCCGAGATATTTAAAATTAAATGAGGGAGGTTCAATTTTAAAATACTCTTATTTTCAAAAATTACTAATCTAGAAAATATTATATATTTTCACCTTTCAAAATAAAATATTAGAAAACCCCAAAAATATAACAAATGAGATATTTTTATTATTTATTTTAGTTAGTCCTACTACTACTAACTATAATATACTGTGGAGATGTTGCATTAACATTATTTAATAAATAAATATAATCACAACACTAAGGAATAAGAAATTGTTCAAAAAATGATTTTTTAAAGATACTTTATTATATAGATATATCATCCAAAAACTTATCTAGATACAAATACATCGTCCAAAAATATATCTAGATACAGATACATTCTTGAATGTGTATAGATATACAATTTTTTTAATATACTTATGTAAGGTGTGCATAATGCCTAATATAGGATTCTATTATTAAGTCAGCTAAAAAATTTATTGACTTGATATCTCATCTATTACAAAATATATATGTTAATAAATAATAATTGTTAGATTTCATTAGTTGAACATTCTTATAATTTTCTTTATTAAGGCATCCCCGTTCTGTAAAGACAGTTTTAGCCACTAAAAAAAATTTAATGGGATATTTTCGGCATTCATGTTATGCTTTAACAATTTTATATTGGGTTTATCTTTTAATATACTAATATCCTAACACTCATTTTTAAAATAATCAGTAAAAATTTGATGCCAAAATTTTTATCACCATTCATAATCACAAATATGCTGAAAAATCGTATATTAAGTTATTAGATTTTTTCTGGTTATCTGTTTACAATTGTAAACTTTGATAATTCATCATCTAATCTATGTATTCATTGTCTTTTATTTAATTTTCCTCCATTTGTATCTAATAGTGCGCACAAATTGAACGTTGCAACGCAGCGTTTCAAAACGCAAACAATGCATTTTAAATGCATTCGTTCAAATTGAGCACATTTCCGTTTTCCATTTTAAATTATTTTTTAAAAGACAAACTTGCTTGTGTTTTTTGAAACTTTTTAAATTTTGAAGTGATAAAATTCTTCTAAATTGTAAGAATAATTATTATTAAATGATATAACAATATTTTTAGGTAATGGAACGATGAAATTACCAAAAGGTTTGCACAATTGCTGTAATTCTTTCTCAAGAAGAGATTGAGAAACTTCAAGTATTAGCTGAATAAGGAGAAAATAGGAAAACCTCCTTAATTAAATATTCATGTTATTTATTTTATTGGTAAGTGATAATAACTACTTGGTAAATATAGAGTAGGGTTGTGCCAATCCTCAAATTCTGTTCTGATATTATTACAAAGCCTATCCAATACTAATCCAAAATTTATATTGATTTTACTTACCATCTATATTTGAATAAATCCCACAAAATATTTTACTATTCATAAAAAATTATAAGTGTATTTTGTTTTCTTTATTCTCAAAAAGTTAATTACCTTGTATAAAATAATAGAGTTAATTTTCATGTGGAACTCTCAACAACAACAAACCTAAAGTACTGAATGAATTTAATAGGTTAATAAATGTTCTGGAAGAAAGCCATCTGGGATGCAGTAAAGCTAATTTATATTTTAAATTTATTTATATTTTATTTAGGCATTTTTTCAATAGCCTTGTAGAGGAGGCTGAATCCTTAAGTTATGAGAAGTAAAACACCAAACCTGCCAATGAATCTCCATTAGACATATTTAATAGCATTATATAAATATAAATGTATTGTTTAATAAATGTTTGTATCATGTTGTAAGATATTAGAATTATATTATTTGAGGTTCATTCCTCAAGATTTTAAATAGCTCAATGTGCTACACCTAGAATAGTGTTCAAATTAAGATTTATATATTAAATAAATTTTTCTTAATATTCACTTTATTTATTTATGTCATTTAATAACATAATTGTCTATAAAAATCAAATATGTAACACAATTTAATATTTTATAAAATTTTTATTCTCAGCTAGGTAAGAAAGGTCTTGTAGTGAGATTTATCATTGTGCATCTATAAATTTCATGTTATGTCTGTTAGGGCTAACAGGTTAATTGAAAATCTATGCTTGCAGTTAAAAAATTGTGAGCCACTATTGGAAGGGCTCTTGATATAGATATGTTTTCCATCTATAGCCCCAAAACAATTTGGTCCTGATTGAAGCAGGAATTCCTGGGAAATGTAAAAAGTAAATATTAATCTTGATTTATTATAATAAATGTACTCTTTCCCAATCATTTTTATTAGGCTTAGACATGTGAATATGTACAGCTATCCAAATTGCTATGCACACTGATTTCACAATATAAGGTATACAGGATTTGGAAATCCTTAAGCTATAAGCAAGTTGTGCAAATGATACACCATAAATACCTATTATATAAATAATTAATAATGAATTAAATTTATTTTACCTCATCTTGTACAATTATAAAATTGAGAATGTGTTAAATCGCCTTTAATATTAATATATTCAGAAAAAAGATTTCCTTTAACATATATTTGAGATGTCTTGCTCCTCTTCCTTCCTTTATTTTTTTAAGTAAATATAAGGCAAGTAATTTATTTTGTTTTAAATAAAGGTTTCATATTAAAATTAAACTCAATGCATCAATTTAAACAAGGCTGCGTTTACGTTTTTTTATATGCGTTTTGAAACGCTGCGTTGTAACGTTCAATTTGTGCGCACTATAAGTCCAATCAAGTTTGAAATAAGGATGAATTTTAAATTAGGCTTTATAAATTGGCCAAGTAAATTTAATAAAACCCGCCTATACTTAGTTGATTATTTCTTCTGCTCTGACATAAAAAAATTTTTGATTAGTATGTTGACGGCTAAAATAATTGCCTGGTTTATTTTTCTAAAATGAACTCGTACATAATATTTAATGAATTGATGATCAAATATTTTTTTTTAATACTTAGCTAAGAATTTTCTTATTTTTCAGATTTTTTAAAAAATATATAACTATTTTACTTAGTAAAATTTTTTGAATTTCTTAGAAGGAATAAAACGTTCAAAAATTTTTGTTAGTTTAAATAGGAGATCATGCCTGTTTTATTTTTTAATAGCATAATAGCTCAGACCCATAAATTTGAATAAAATTATCTTTTGTATGATAATCAGTGTTGCCAGAACTCCCGCTTTTGGCGTAATCCCAATTTTTTTACTTTTGTTTACACCAAAACACGCCATCTATTGATTTATCTTTTCTCCCGATTTTCCCTAAAAAAATTATCCGAATTTTTCCTAAAAAATTCTCCCGATTTATTTTATAAATTTTTTGAAATATAAAATAATTAAAAATAGCTTAACCAGAGACTTGCACTTTATTTTAATTCAATCATACATTTAAAAAGGCATTTTGTTTTTGTTCTTTTATTCATATTTTTAAGGTAAAAATAAAATAAATTACAGTTTAAAAAAGACAAGATTAATATCAAAAAAATTTTTTAAATCGCAATATCAAAATAACTGGAATTCTATTTATTAATGGGTCAGAGAAGATAAAGAATATAGCCCAAATGCAATTTGTATAATATGCAATGCTAAATTTAAAATATCAGCCATGCAAAAAACATTCAACAAGGCAAAAACATACAATTAAATAACGAACCATCCAATAATATCCAACTTATTTCAAAAACAATCATTTATGTTAATAATACTGCAATAGCCGAAACGACATTCATCTATCACACGAAAAAAACATTCGCTTAGTTATTTACCTATAGATTGCGCTACAAGCTTATTGTCTATACTCTTGACTGATTTAAAACAGTCAAAAACATAAAGTAGAAGAGCAAGCCTCCAAAATAGTGTTAAATAAGTCCTAAAACTATAAACACATCTTAGAGGATTTGAAGGAAAATCATCCATTAACTGACGCATTAAATAATGGAAATACTAAAACATTCCCAGTAATGCTGCGCTATTTTAATAAAGAAAGAGGTTTCAAGTAAACTTCTAAAAATAATTTCATCGACTCGGAGAAATCGAAGATTCCTTGAAAATTTTAACCTTTCACTATCAAATATAGCATCTTTTGGTGCCGATACGCAAGTGTGAATTCCGGAAAAGGGCAAAGTGTAACTGTAGTTTTGAATGAAAATATTATCCCTATTGTACCTGTACCATGTAATTCAAGGAATAAAGGGGCATGCATTATTAATAGTCATAGAAATAATTCCTATTAAATATTATGTCGAATTCAGCAGATCCACAAATAGTGTATCTGTTTTGAAAATGAATTCTCACGATATTAATGAGCCGAACTAATATGATTTGATTCAACAAAATGGCTTAATACCGGCTCTCGAAAGACTTAAAATAATTATTTAGCTGTTAAATTTTATTTTTCCCCAAAAAAATTCCAATTCAATATTAAAACTATGTTTTGAAAATGTATTACCGAGAGTTTTAATATAGGGACGACCTTGTGGTTAAAAAGTTGCTTGTGGTTAAAAAGTTGAATCCGAAAATTTAATTGCAATGGAGATGTTTTCACTAATAAATAAATTAGTTAGAGCTTTAAAAGCCCAAGTTATCAAATGGATCAGTTGTAAGACAAAATCTTATAAAATGTGTTGATCATAATAAAATCGCGTCAATTCATAATGAAGTTAATAAATTTATTAAAACAAATCTTTTCTTATTTAGAGAAAAAATATTAATTTACAAATATGGAAAAATCTAATTTATCAATAATAAATTCAAATTCGAAAAGGTTAAATGAATATTTTAATATAAAAGATATCGAATTAGATGAATTATTTCAGGAATTCATTGATTTAAATACATTTATAGAACAAAATAGTATATTGAATTTGGCTCATGAAAACAAATGGGTACTTTTTTTTCAAAAAACATTGCTCCATATTTTGAAAAATATATTCTCCTTATCACATCACGCTAATTAAGAGCGCATATTTAGTTTAATGAAAATTTCTGAAAGAAAGATCGTAATCTGATCTTTAGCGGAATTAATGATTAAACATAATTTTAATTATACTTATAAAGATTTTAAGTAATATGTAACAAAAAAATAGAAATTTAATTAAAACATAAAATTGAAAAATATGAATAAAAATATGTACTGATTTTTTAAATAATATCTATTCATTTTATTAATGAAAGAAATAAATTATACGATCTTCCTTTATTTTACTTATAAAATTAATTTTATATTAGAAATTTGAATTATAATTAATGTTTTATATAAAGAATTAAATAGAATACTAATTTCATTTATTTTTAAATTTTATATAGATTTTTTATTTGTAATTACTGTTTGATGATATCCAACTATGATTATAAAATTCCACGTATAAAAATAATTAATTTAAATTTTATAAAAAGTTCTGACTTTATGTACACCATTAATAATTAATTTATTTTTAAAAGATTTGGTTCAACACTGTGTTTAATACAATATAAAGTATAATATAACTTTTTAATCCTTTTCTCATTTTATTTTAAAATAATGAAATCGAAATCTTAATACAATATTAAAATATTATATATTCATATAATATATAGAAAAATATTTAAAGAAATAAAGGCAATATTTTTTAATTCATTGGATTTATTAATCGTAAATGTATGTCATTCGGTTTTTCTTTTTAATCACTATCTTTTAAATTAATTTCCTTTTATAGTATGACTGAATAACGAGAAATATTTCAAGCTACCCATCTTATTTTCCCCTCTTTTTAATAAGAACGTTTTAGCAAATTAAATTCATTTTATACCTAGGTAGTATATAGTATGACCGAATACAAGAAAGATTTCAAACTACCCGTCTTATTTTCCCCCGTTTTCAATAAAAACGTTTTAGCTGAATGGTTAGCTTCAAAGAATATACCCCAGTTTCATTGTGCTGGTAATTTTATTTTTTCTTCATTTACTTACGAATTTTATTTATATCTTTTTTCATTATTAATGTCTCATAATGGTAATAGATATTTTTACCATTAATAATAGAAACCGAGAAATACGCCCATGTTACCTTTTTTTTCAATGGAGGAAGGGAAGAACAATTTAATCTAGAAGAACGTAAAATGATTCCATCTCCTAAAGTTAAAACCTATGACTTAAAACCAGAAATGAGCTGTATGGAAGTCGCTATGGCGGTTAGTTACAATACATTTTATATTATATATTTCTCTTTCAAGATTTTGAGTAAGATAGTATGTTTTACAATTTAGAAAAGTTACTCGTTGAACTATGGGCCACAATCTTGATCAAATTATAATGGTTATTTTTAATAAAACATTATTTTATGGTAATGGCAATATTCAAAATATTACGAATTTGTGCAAATAATTAAATTTAAAATATGAGAATATTTAGTAAATTTTAATATTATATTTTAATTTTTATACCCTGAATTAATAATATTTATTCTCCTCCGTCATTGAATAAATAGTCTATAAATAAATCCTTATCTCAATAACTAATAAATTAAGAATTGTAATATTATAAGATTATAATACAACCTTTGCTTGCATTATTATCAAATTTAAAAATTGTTTGGTATGAAAAATAAAACCTGATTAACGATAGATTATCTCAATGTTTATTGTATATACCAAAAGTTAATTCTTAATATTAGGCTATAAAACATAATCGACTATTTTTATCTTCCTTTTTAAATCGCTCAAATACATTTTTAATTATAAATAATATTAAAATATAAATAAAAAAAATATAAGGTATCTGAAGCTTTAAAATGTGGTAAATACGCATTTGTTATGTGCAATTTTGCTCCACCAGATATGGTAGGTCATACTGGGTCATTTGATGCTGCTGTTGAAGCTTGTCAATTTACTGGTAAAAAAATTGATTGACATTTTTAAACCTGGGCAATTCATGATTTTTTCACTTTTAGTATTTTTTAAAGCTTATTATTGTCTAAATTATATCATCTATAGTAGTTACTTAAATTATCTGAGTTTTTTCTCTTGAATCAATGAAAAGATAACTCCAAAAATTATTTATGTTTGTCAATAATTCTAAAAAAGACAAAGCGATTGGCATCGTGGAAGAGGCTTGTAAGCAATACAATTTTACGATGATGGTCACTGCTGATCACGGTAATGCCGAAGAAATGATAGCACCAGACGGCGGCCCTTTCACCCAACATACATGCAACCCTGGTTTAGTTTTCATTTATTCTAAAAAATATCGAATTATTTTATAAAATCTTCGTAATATTGATATCGGTTTGTTTTCTTCGATTATCTGGCCTCGATTCATCTCTATTTTTAACAATTATTGTAAAACCTTAACTCCCTTTTTCAATTAAAGTTTTTTTAAACTAATTTTATTTAATAAAGTTCCACTGCTATTAACGGGTTTCCGAAAATTTGACCCCAAATTTGTGAGTCCAGAAAAATCAGATATTTCTAGCATAAAAGATATAAAAACAGTTCCTGCCTTGTGTGATGTTGCACCAACTATATTAGATCTCATGGGCTTAGATCAACCAGAGGAAATGACTGGCCATTCGTTACTTCTCCCCAGTTATTAAAAATATATTTTAATAAAGCATTGTTAATTTATTTAACTCATGGATAATCATTCTTTTCCACAAATTTTAAGCTTTATTAATTATTTTTACTCGATTTTATTGCCATTTATTTTTAGATATTAAATACGGTTAAAAAGATATTTAGATTTCCATATGCGCAGGTAGCCTTGTAATTTATAAAATTATTGTACAAAATCAGTTTGAACACTCAATTATTTGCGTTTTCTTTAAAAAGAAAACCTTTATATTATTTTGTCTGTTATAAATGGTGAATTGTGATTTTCATTATATTCTCATTAACTTAAATATCACTTATATAATTTTTTAAAATTTATAAAATTTTGATAGTCAATTTTCCGGAATAAATATTTTATGCAATCTATATTTTTAATTTATTTTAGTATTGTAATTGTATTAACTTTAAAAAAATATTATACATAATGTAAACCTTATATACGAGTTTGAGTGTCATTTGAGACCAGCTTTGGGTAATAGAATTTCTATCCCTAAAGATTATTTCGAATTAATTACGTTTTTACAATTTAAAAATCTTAACGGGCTGGTTTTTAGCTCCACCCTTGCAAACTATACATGGGTAACAAAGTTTGTTAGACCATAGACCAACTTAATGGATAATATGAATGAACTACAATTACCAGATCTAGGCTATTCTTATCAAAATTCCATGCCTAATTAAAGTTCAAAATCTTATTGAAATTTCTAAAGAAATCATATATATATATATATATCATCAATTTGTTAAACCTATAAAAACGAATTAAAATAACATCAACAAACTAAATGATTGAAACACAAATGTAAAAGAGCTGAAAAGGACAATTATGAAATACAAGTGCAGCCTCTGAAAAGAGCAATTATATAAATTTAAAAAAATTATAATTTAAAATTAATAATAATATCCTCAGTTCATGATTAGGAATTAAATAATTTAAAATTGTAATTTATGATTTCAGAGTTTTTTTTTGATCAAGACGCTAGTAATTGTATGCTTCTTGTCTGATGAAAGGGGTAGGGCCAAGTCAAAATTGCTGGAGTTATTTTTGGTAAAAAATTTATTTTATTAGAGAAATATGAAAATGTGGAATAAAATTTTTTGCGAGCTTTCGGCCTTCAAAGTGATTGTGAAATATATTAATATCCCCCCCCCCCACTCCCATTGATCTTTATAACTACTTTATATAAATATTAATAAAGTCAGCTGGTTTGTAAAATTTTTCAAAGTAGGTAATAGATAATACATGCTTACATATTTTTCCAAAGTCTGGGATTTATTGTTATTTCGTAATTATACTCATTTCTCCAATGCTTTTAGACCAATTATTTTGGGTATTCTTTAGAATCATAATAAATAGAGAGCATAATCTCCTCAAATAATATCTAGCTGTATTTTAAATGTATTTCTCAAATTACATCCATCATTTGATGGTTTTTTTCCAAGGTCATAACATATTGCTAATACTCTAAAATTGTTTTAGTAAAAATACCTGCTTCATTTAAAAAGCCATTAATTAGGGCAACATTTAAACAAAAGACATTTTTAACAAATTTATTATCCATTTTTTAGTTGTAAAGATAACATAGCTATAACATAATTTTATGAATCTGTATTAACAAAGATTCTTCTGATTGCAATTGCATATTAACAGCATGTGGATTTCCTAATTGTGAAACCATGCCTAAATATGCTTCCGCCAATTCATTTTGAAAATTCTTACAAAATATTTGGAAAGCTTTTATAATTTCCATTTAAAAAAATATCTATTTAGAAGTTTATAATATAAGATTTTATCAATGGCAAGTATTAGTCATAATCAATAGGGACATCTCGTACTAACTCACCATTCATAATATGTGATGCCTATGCTTGACATTTGTTGAAATATTTGAAAATTTTGAGGAGTTATGCAATGCTATTTTAGATAACTGGTTATAATTTTAATGAATTTCTCAGCTATGAACTGTAATACATATAATATATATCTTATAATAAAAATAATTTATATAATTATATTACGAATTTAAATGAATATAATAAGATTTCACTTGCTACCCATGTTAGGATAATTTACTATGCACTTTTTACCCACCATGGACACATAGGGTTACATCAATTCATGTTTGTTTTATACATACCCCCCCCCCAACACTTCACTAATGACATGTATTGTTGGGTGTCAAATATTTCAGAGATCTGCAAATGTACCATTTGCATGACCATACCCAGATTTAAAATTTTTTTAAAAATATATATTAATTTTTTATAGCTAATAATGGCGATTTCAAATAATCTGCCTGGCCTTGTTGTTTTAAAATTTTTTTAGGCCAGGTTTAGATATATTTTAAAAATTGTAATATGATTCGGATGGGCAAGTCTCTGCAATTTATCTTAATAGCTTTCACCTCAAGATATTATATTAAAAAGTGTGCACCCCCCCCCCCTTTCCCTCATTACCTAGATCCGAAAGCATAGATTAATGAAACTCAACAATTCATTTGATTAACTTTTATAGCAAAAATTTCGGAGATTCAATAAAAAAGTTACGAGAAAATAAAAAAATTTAATTTTGCAAAATAGTCTTTGATTTTAAGAAAAATATCTGATACTCAATATAAAGCCTTAGCTTTAAGAATTTTTTATTGTGCAAAATAATGTCTTTGAAAAATATATGAATTCATAATATTTATAATTGCGTTAAACAATTAAAATATAAAACTCTTGATAACAACTTAAAAATAATAGCGATTAGATTATAATTCCAAAGAAATAAATAAATTCTAAAAGATATTTATTAACTATTTTATATCTATTGAATTTTACTTTACCAATCTATTAATGATCACAATTTAATAAATAACCTATGAAATAAAACAATCTAAAATAAATTAATAACAAGCCAATTAGTTATATTTTACAAAATGATATTACAATCAAGTCTTTAAAAAGATTTTGAATTTTTGCACACATTTTATAGTAAGGTTAGAATTAATTCCTATGAATGCTACTATAAAGTATTTATTTATTATATTTGGCAGAGATAATGAAATAACAACATCCATGCTTACCTAGCAAATATTCAAATGATATAGAACAAAAATGATTCTATATGGAAGGGTTTAATATTATATTAATTTTTAAATTTTATTAATTAGGCACTATATTTGAAAATATTAATCTTCTTGTAAACAAATTTATCCATCTATTATATCTTTTTGTGTCCAGAGGTTGTTGTTTTAGGTATGCAAATTTTAGAAAAATTTGTTGCCATACACAGGCCATCTCTTTAAAAAAAAATAGGGGGCCCTTGACTAGGGCTGGACAAATTTTCAGAAAATTGTATTCGGATACAGTTACTTAGTAAAATTTTGTATAGATATGGTAAAATTTCAATAAAAATTTGTATCTTTAAAAGACTTTTTAAAAAACTTTAAATAGTCAAAATCAAAATGTACCAAGCTTTATTTTTTTAACTATAATATAAATTCATTAAAAATATGGAAATAAATTGTAGAAAATAATAAATTTGTTGTATACGATAATGATATAAAGATATTTTTAAAAAAAATTGTATATTATAATAAAAATAATATCAGAACAAAAAATTAATTAGTAAATATCAATAAATTAACATCAAAAATCCATTATTTTTTAATATTATTAATTAGTTTTTGAGATTTGGTCTATTGACCATATTAGCAAGGCTGAATAATCGTTCAACGGGGCAGATACGTGTTAAATTTAATAAATATTTCTTTTAAATAATTATAAACATATTTAAGTTGTGTCGGTCATCTTTCATATAATTTAGGATAATTAATTCAATATCATTGAAGATTTTGCTGACATATTAATTTCAATAATATTTTTAAAAATAATTAAAGCTACAGGCAGGCTTATTAATAGATCCTTTTAAAAAGATCGAATCTCTATCACGATCTAAAGATCTCGATCCTTTTTTTATTTAAATTTCTGAAGAAAATTATTGATTGATGCAAAATTAACTAATATAAAAATTTAAATATGGTATAAATTTATTGTAATTGAATAATAATACAAGTATAACAATCAGAATATATTTATTTATAATTAAAATTAGCCTTTAATAATAAAAATTTTTTCTAAGTTATTATCATTTAAACATACGTCTTTTATTAAGCACATGTTTAGCTTTACTAAACAAGCACTCCTATGGAGCGCTTGATAATACAGGTGTGTTATATTCAATAAATAATTTAAATTAACATAAATATTAAAAATTTCATTGAATCATCATTAGAATAAAAAATTTATTAATGGAACGAGTATTTTGTCAAGAATTTTTCCCCAAAAAGTATCTATTTTATCCATACATTCATTTTAAGCATCTGCATGTGGTTGATCCTGCATATTTCCCAAATAGGGATTAACCTTTCTTTTGCCAACAGATTTTGTGGCAGATTAATATAAGGCCAATTATCTTAAATTTTGGGTGAATTATTGTATGTTGCTGTCATCATACAGTGAAGGAAATCTATATTAAGAAATGAGCTGTAAATCTATAATGGAGGACATTATTAAAACCTAGAATTTATTTATAATATAATTAAATAAAGTAAACTTGTAGGCTCTTAATTTCGTTCTAGATAAAATTTTGGAAATTGTTGAAATATAAAATATGATGGAATGGAAGTTGATAAAATATGATGTAGATTGTTTTTTTTAAAAATAATTAAAATTTTTATTTTATTTTTAAGTAAAAAATTAATTTTAAAAAGGATCAGGATCGAATATTAAAAAAATGATATTGATCCTCAATTTAAGTCAAGATCATAAATCCGGGAAATTTGACAAATTTATGATCGAATCCAGGATCGGCGATCTTTTGATTCGACCCTTTAACAACTCTGGCTACATTATTAATAAATCTTCAACATCAATCCAACGATTTTTAAAGTAAGGATGAATGAGATATAGTGGCAAAAAATGCGCTTAGTTATTATCAAATTTATTCAAAGAATTTTCTACTGCAATAGCTAATGGTTTTTGTTATTTTTTTTAGCGACATTTAATATTGGAGCTGATCTCCATAACAGCAGTTGATTTCGTTTTGTATTTTGTCAATCGCTATAGCTAATAAGGACATTATATGGCAATATTCTTCTAAATATTGCTATCAATATTAGATTTGGAAATTCTAATTTTTAATATAATTTTGGAAGTTCACTTTTAAATTTTAATAAACTACTTAGGCTATCAAACATGCTATTCCATCTCGTACAGCATGGAATAACTAATTTTTTTCCTAAAATTGCTTTGATAAACTGCAGTTTTAGGT